TAGGAATGACAATAGTAGAAAGACTGATGATAGTTTGTCGCTGTCTTGATCAATCATAAAGTGTGGATCGTCTCCGAGCAACGAAGGAACGAACTTCTTAACGATCACAACCCGCAAAGTAAAGGTGCCCGTCGTCACAGGCGGGTTCGTGTCGTGCGAGGTATGTGAAGTTATAAGCCCATTTCACTCTCTCGCCTTACTTCGATGTCAGTTCAACCCTAACCAATCACCGTATCCAGTGTTAGAATTAACAGCCTGTTCCACAGTCCTGGACGCGTGATTATTTTCGTGATTGATTTTACAAATTATCTAAGTGTAGCAGACAGTAGTAAAGACAGGGTAACGTCTACTATTTTAGATTCTGCGTCAACGTGCCAGCGATCTAATCAGTGCTTTTGTTTAGCGCCATTTAAACCCGCGTCGCTTATACCAATCAATGCCAAAATCTGAGTGGGAATAAAAATTACGCGCCTGGGACCAGAAACTTGTAAGCAAGACTGGATGCATTTTATGGATATTACTAGTTTAGATAAGCAGAAATAAAAAAATTTCCAAATCAGGAGTGGCTTGGTTTTCAGAGTTGTTTTTAAGACCGCCACGTAATTTTCAATACAGACTGTTTCACTCATCGCTATGTACTATAATGTACTAACTTAAGTGTATATAGAGATCGGTGGACTGTTTCCGTTTCTGCTACGTTTCAAGCTTTCCCTGGTTTCCTCCATGAAGTGAACCTTCCATTGCTACCTCTTACGTTCAGACCGTTTCAATTTCCGTCAGAGATCAACCATTTCATAATTTCTACCAGGTAACAAACTTTGCAAGTTTCACCAGGGCTAAACCCATATGCAGTATTTACCGCGGCCCGTTGTCACAAACAGAATTATTCTTAACATTAGCCATAACATCTTATTCACGTACACCGTTGAGATACACAGTAAAGTTGTGAAAATGAAAAATCCAAGCAAGTTCCCTTACGAGATCTCAACCTGACTTACAACTATCAAACTGAAGTAAAAAACGGAAATTACACAACGAATTACAATTATATTGGTTTTACATTGTATATTGACTAGTAAAACCAGTGTTAATAACACTTTCATAAAAAAGCACGTCGGAAACATTACTTGTTTCCTGATCGTATACCAAAACAAACTTACAAGTGAAAGTTGTTTTTGATATTTTGATTAGTCATGACGATATATATATAATTATATATATAATATATATATATATATATATATATATATATATATATATATAATATATATCAGGAGTAGATAATAGGGAATATGTGCATATATTCTCATAATAACAAATTGTATATGAATTTGAGCTTCGTGATTGATTCTCATCCACTCAGCAGCACTGTGACAGCAAATTATCAAATTTATGGTATCACAAGTTTTCTCGTATCTACGATGCGTTTCTGTCAAATCTATTAGGTAGTACACGTAGTAGTAGTTTAGCATTAACATTAGCCTTAACTATACGATGTGTCTGCCAACGGGCTCTACGGTTTACAACTTGCAGAGTTACCTTCAGTGTAGTCTCACAGAGTTTTCTACGTGGTTCAAGTCTTGCAGAATTTTCTTCAGCGTTCAAGCATCACGGAGTTTGCATCGGGGTTGAAAGTTTTCTACGTTTCCACTCAGTGTGTTAACCAACAGCCACGAGCCGACGCGATCGAAGAACGCACCCGCACAATGCCGGCTAGATTTTTTAGTTGCGGTGTGGAAGAAATGATCGAAACGTCACAATAAAATAAATGAAAACGATTACAGCAAGCGGCCCTAAGTAAGTACGAGGAAACACTTTGGATCATTCACTCGCTCACACGCCTATATCAGAAACAAGGAGCCCGCTACTGAAGCACGTTAC